GGCGTGGCCGCGGCGGCGGACGGGCCAGGCCCATCCGAGGCGAACCGCGCCCGCTTCGCCACGGCCTTCGCCTTCCCCTTGGCCTTGACCTTCTTGGCCTTGTCGATGGCGTCGCCGATCGCGCCAGCTCCTCTCGGCGGCCGCGCCGCCTGGCAGAGCCTACACACCGTGCGCCACGCCATGTTGCTGTAGCCAGCTGTACACGCGTTGCACGTCCAGGGGTCGCCACCCTGGCTGGCGCCGCGTGCGCCTCCAGCAGCACCATTCGCCATCGGCCCGCGGGGGCACGCCGCTTCGAAGTATGCACCCGCACGAACGAGCCTCGTGCTCGCCCCGAAACGGCTCAGGGGAAGGGGGGGAGGAGGAGGAGGAGGAGGAGGAGGAGGAGGAGGAGGAGGAGGAGGAGGAGGAGGAGGAGGAGGTGAGGAGGGGGAGAGGAGAGGAGGAGGAGGAGGAGGGAGGAGGAGGAGGAGGAGAAGGAGGAGGGAGGTAGGAGGAGGATGGGTAGGAGCAGGGAGCATGGGTTAGGATGATCAGGGGGGAGGAAGGAGGAGGAGGAGGAGGAGAGGAGGAGGAGGAGGAGGAGGAGGAGGAGGAGAGAGGAGGCGGAGGAGGTGGAGGAGGGGAGGAGGAGGAGGAGGAGGGAGGAGGAGGAGGAGGAGGAGGAGGAGGAGGGGTGTTTGGTAGCCTCGCTTGCTCGAAGCATCGTGGTCGCGCGCGCAGGATTGCCTTGCGTTAGCAGAGGCTTGCCCTGCATGCTGCGGCGTGGCCACAGGCGCAAAAAATCGCCGCCTCGTCCTGCGCAGTCGCTCAGGAAAATGGCGCTTCATATCCCATGGTGGCTAGGTCATCGGGCGAGACGGCATACATGGCAGTCGACAGGGATGTTCGCAACCTCGAAGAACGCTAAACACCCTGTGTCGGCCTGGTCAATAATGTCAACATTGAGAGCAGCATTGGCGAACATGTCTACCTAGAGTATTGCTGCGCTTTCGCATGGCTTTACGCGTGGGCGTTTGAATGCCCGAGTTTTGTTTGCAGTCTTGGCGCCGTGTCTTCGCAATACCATGGGCAGCGTTTGCATCTGCACGCAAACGCGTTGCAACGCGCTGCGCTCAGACATGGGCAGGGCAGCGAATTCAATTTACTGGTGCATAAAAGACCTGCCAGATTGGCTTCGGGCCAAACAGTGCGCTTGGTTCATCTCCGCCCACGTCCCTATGAAAGTGATGATTACAAAAAAGGAGGCGCAGTTGCGTTGTTTTGAAATTGCTTGAATTGTTTCCCGGCCGGCTTCCGAATGTAATTTTGAGCGTCTGGGCGTTATTGTGGCAGGTAGGCGCATCAGGTTGCGATATGGATTTATCATGGTCGATGAAAAAAGCAGTATGAACAAGTTTTTGGACTCAAGGGGGCTGCAAGCCTCCGAATGTGTCTGTCGTGCTGATCTTGCGTGCGCACTAAGAGGGCCGTCAGCGATGACTCTGGGCTGGTTCTTTTTACGCGACCAGACATGAGAGGGTTCGAGCGAAATCGTAGCCCTTTGCTGGCAGCGTCACTCGACAAACCGACATAACTTACGATAAGTGAGTTGTTCTGTACAGACCCTGCAGGGACATGCTTAATCTCCCAGATGCCAGATACACTGATTGGTTTCAATATGTCACCAACCAGGTCGTTTTAGACATCCGCGAAGCGCATGGGCTCCCGATCGAAGATATTGACAAGTTCCAGAGGGCCGTGCGTGCGCCTGCCCAGAAGCTCACCCCTACTTGTTTCGTCAACCGTTTCGTTGATGACCGTGGATCCTTCATCAAAGCTTTCGGCTCAGAGGCAACACCACGATATCAATGCTGTGGTTTGTTTTCTGTCTTGTTTCATGGCAGACGCCGTCAGGTTTAATCCCCAGCGGCTTTTGTGTTGCCGAGGGAGGTGTTGGTGATTTCTCGTCCCGGCGACGAAGGAGTTGGTCGCGCAGGTAGGCTGGGCGAGCTGCTGCACGCTGTCCGCGATTTGTTCTTGCACCTGTATGCGCCGTGCGCCACGCTGAAAGTATATCTTGCTCGACACGTCCCTGCCGCTTTCAAGTTCCATCGATTCAATATGTCCTGCACTGCTGGCGAGAGGCTGCATAGACCGACCAAGGACATTGGGCGGTTCGCTTATACTAAATTCCACCGGACGCTCCTGAACAGAACCATCATGCGACAATTGCGCCAGTTTGGCGACGCTGCCTCTACATCTCACACAGTGGTGGAGTGGAGATCGTACGTGTTTCGGTTCCTTGGCCAGAGAACGTGGCACTGGAAGAAAGCGAGACATGGGATGCATCGCGTTTTTGCTTACAGTATACTATAATTTAGCACTGGATCCGCTGAGCATCGGCCTCGTGCGAGGCATCGTGCAAGTGCAGGGCAAGGCGTTCGTGCCCGTGAACAGCTAGGCGCCCCTTGGACACGATACCTTTTGCTAGCGTTTCGTTGAACGGGCTTCTTGTCGGTTTTGTCGTGGTCATAGGCGCGTTTGAGTACACTGATCACGGCGGCACGGCGCAGGTGCTGCCACCACTATAGGGCGCGGGGTTTGCCCGCGCAGGGATCGCGCGTGGCTTCCCCGCAATTGCAGATTGCGATGTTTCGTCGCACTTGCGATTTGCGAAACGCCAAGGGAACTCCGCCGCCTCCTCCCCTTCCCTCTCCTCCCTCCTCCTCCTCCTCCTCCTCCCCTCCCCCCTCCTCCTCACCCCTCCCCCTCCCCTCTCCTTCCCCCTCCTCCTCCCCTTCCTCCTCCTCCCATCCTCATCCTCCTCCTCCCCTGCCACTCCTCCCACCCACCCCCTCCTCCTCCTCCTCTCCTCCTCCTCCTTCCTCCTCATCCTCAGCATCCGCTCCTCCTCATCATCATCTTTTTTCTCTCTTCCTCTGTCGACCTCCTCCTTCCTCACTTCCCTCCTTCCTCCTCATCCTTCCTTCTCCTTCTTCTCCTTCTCTCCCTCGTCCTCCTCCGTCTCCTCCTCCTCCTCCGTTTTCTCCTCCTTTTTCTCCTCCTCCCCCTCTTTTCCCTCCTCATCCTCATCCTCCACTTCTCCTTCCCCCTCCGCCTTTCCGTCCCTCCTCCTTCTCCACCTCATTTGGTACGGTCGCTCCTTCTCCACCTCATTTCATTCCTCCTTCCTCCTCCTCTTCCTCTTCCTCCTCCTCCTCCGTTCTCTCCGCCTCCTCCTCCACCTCCTCCTTATCCCCCTGCATCACCCTCTTCTATTTTCCTCCTGTCCTCCTCCTCGTCCTCCTCGTCCTCCTCCTCCCCTTTTCTCCTCTTCCTCTCCTCCTCTGCTGCGACTTCCCCTTCTCATCGTTCCTCCTCCACCTCCTCCTCCTCCACTACCTCCTCCTCCTCCTCCTCCTCCCACCTCCTACATCACATCCTCTCATCATCATCATACATCATCATCTTCATGCATCATCATCATCATCATCCTTCTCCCCTCTCTCTCCCCATCTCCTCCTCCTTCTTCTCCTCCTGCCCCTGATGGGCCCTCCTCCTTCACATTCCTCCTCCCTCCTCCTCCTCCACCCCCCCTCTTCCATTTCATTCATCCTCCTCCTCCTCCTCCTCCTCCTCTCCCTCCTATTCTTCACCGTCCTCTTCGTCATCCTCCTGTCCCTCTTCCAACTCCTCCTCCTGCTCCTGATACACCATCCCCCTCCTCCTCCTCCTCCTCCTCTTCCTCCTCCTCATCATCATCCCCTTTTTGCTCCTCCTCCTCCTCCCTTTCTTCCTCCTCCCTCTCCTCGTCCTCGTCGTCGTCCTCCCCCTCCTTCACCTCGTGTCGCTGTTATCAGCCTGGTCGGTTTGAAGCACCTAAAACGGATATGAAGTTTTATGTTGGACTTATGAACAGGGTATGACAAATGTGTGGTTAGCGCATGACATAGTATGTTTATCGGATGGAACAGTCTGACAACATATTTCAAGTTAGTTATAACTGAACTTACCTTATAAGCATTACAGTCATCATACATTATGACGACTTAGGTAAATTCGTTTATGGTGGTTATTCAGCTGATAACATATGTTGTGAATGATATAACATAGCGTATAGTGAGCTCGTGTGTTCCGCAAGTTGTTTTTGATCGAAGCAGACCCCATCTTTCTGCGTTATTTTTTCGAGCCAGATCGATCCTTGCGGGTCCCGGGGCCCGAATTCAGCGAAATCGCCCGGCTCCAAAAAAAAGAGTTGCCAGGATCTCAGGGTCAGTCCGCGTCTGGATTTATTTATTCCGACCGGATTGAGCTCCTCTTGAAATACTCGGGGTGGGAAAAGACCGCAGACACTGTTAATCGCAGACCCCCAGGTAAATATGGCAAAATATGGGAAGTGGGGGGAGACGAAAACCCAGAAAGTATGTGAAAATTTTGGGAGTCCTGGGATTTGTATTTATTATTTATTCCCCAATCAGTGCTTGCACTGAAGGGGTCCTCGCGGAAGTTGAAGGATTTGGCGGAAGTGTCCCGCCGGTTTTGGTCGCACGCTGGGTTCCCTGGTTCCCGGTTACGGGTTCCCGAGGGCGGCGAGGTTCCCGGATTCCCGGGTTCTTGGTCGATCTTCTGTTCGATCGGTCTCACCGTCGATTTCATTACCCACTTCTCTATCGATCTCACCATCGATCTCACCATCGATTTCACTATCGATTTCACAAGCGATCTCACTAGAGATCGCATGAGCGATTTCGCGATCGATCTCACTATCGAACTCATTAAATCGATTTCACTCTCGGTCTCACTATCGACCTTCCAGTGTCGGTCTCACTCTCAATCGCCCTCACTATCGATTCCAGTGTCGATCTCACTATCAATCTCACCATCGATCTCAAGATCCATCATTTCAGTTTTCAAATCATCCACTGATTCGGGTTTTCTCAGGTGTAATGTGTGTGTGTGTGTGTGTGTGTGTCTCTGGGCCCCTCCTGAAAATATAGATCCCCGCCTCGCCCGCGAAGGGGCGCCTGGTGCTGCTCCGGTGGCCGGGCCTGCTCGCGCCGGCCGAGGGCGGCGGTCCGCCCCAGTACGAGGTTCAAGCAGCGGCGAAGCGCCCTGCCTTGCTCGGTGGCAAGTCGTGGGGGCCTCGTATGCCGTCTTAATGTCGCCTGTGGCGTCTCATGTCGTCTTAACGTCCAGTAGCGTCTGGAAATCAATGAGGTAGCGCCGATTTAGCATCGACCCGCGTCGGCTAGCGTCGATTAGCGTCGACTTGCCGTCGATCACCGTCGACTAGCGTCGATTAGCGCCAGCCAACAAAATGGTATGGGAGGTTCCAATCAGTTGCCACAGAAGCTTGCTTATTCAGCGGAAACACATGGCAATGAGCACTCTGCTTGCCTCCAGGGTGCCCTGGGCACCTTGGGCTTCGATGGTTTTGCGATGGAGAGCGTGGCGCTCCCACACAAAAAATACATGGGCGTCCTGGGGTTTCAGGGTTGGGTTTCTCGTGGAAGGTTTCTCGTGGTCGAGCTCCTACTGCAGGCCCCGATGGCCTCTTTTCGGACGGGGCTAGGACGAGAAAGAATCCGTTCCGGAGCGTTCAGGGAGGCTCTCAGAGCGTTCCGGAACGCTCTGAGAAGACCGCAGCGCCCGATACATCCCCCAGATCCATCCCCAGACATGCGACGTCCTTATTTTTTCAGGACGGCGTCCCCAGAAGTCCCGACCCCGACTGGTTTTTCGTCCCGAGTCGTTTTCTTGACGGCCCCGGGGCCCGGCGAGGGCCCCCCAGGGCCGAAAATAATGAAAAACCTCCCGTCCAGTTTTTTTCACGACGCGAGCATGTTTGGGTCGGATCCCAGAGATCTTCGATCTATCCGTACCCGATTTTATCCTCGTCCGGCCGAGGGCGGCCAGCCGGCCCAGTACGAGGTTCTCAAGCAGCGGCGAAGCGTCTTGGCATGCTCATAGGCCCCGAGGGCCTCTTGTGGCTTGCGCGATAGTTACGTTGCAGCTTCGGGGACCTCGCCTGTCCCCCACATCGGTGTCTCTTCTTCTGACCGGCGCGGGCTCGATGCGGACTCGACGCGGATTTGCGGATTCGACACGGCTTCGAAACGGATCCGACAAGTCCGACATTCATTCGACACGGATTCGACGCGGATAGGGCCGCGGCACGAAATCTGAAATTTGCGCATATATACATGGCCATTGGCGAGCTGTTTTTCAGCCCCCCAGCGTATGAGTCCGAGCACAGTATATGACTACCACCACCAAGATCGAGAATAATATTCAATGCGATTTGGTGCAGTGTTGCCTTGGTGGAAAGCCCGCAGTCCCCCTCCCGCCGCCAACGGCCAACGGGCTGCCCCCTCTCTCTTAAGGACCACAACAGAATTCATCAAAGCACGCGCGGTGGTGGTGTATAGAATTTTGGTTACCAAGGGGAGCGATTTTTTATACACCACCACCAAGAAGTGCTGTTTCTGCTCCAGTAACTCCCCATGCCACGGCGCCTGCGAGCTGCGCCAGGCTCCTTTTAGCCGTGGCGTCACAGCGTCGTCTGGCATGGTCCTGCCCCTACTCTTTTTTGCGGCAAATTACTGTTACGGGCGGTGGTCGTGTATAAAAATTGGCCTCGCAATGAGGGTCGTGGGCGACGTCGGCGTGGTGCGGTGTATATTGTTGTTTCCCCGTTTTCTACACCATCTTAATCACCTCTTCTCCAGCCAGCCGAAAGGCAAACGGCCTACGCTAGTGAGTGTTGTTGCTGGTGCCTGCAAACATGGAGCATCCAGGGGACAGCGTCCTGACGGACGCATGTCAACAATTCGTCAATGTCGCAGAGGGGGCAGCTTGCGCTCTGCAAAGATCCACAAGTACAAAGGCTCAAAGACCTGTCTACGGCCCTGAACTCCTCTGACAGTCCCGAACTCGCGCCGAAGGAAAAAACAACGGATCCCGTATACAACAGGATCCGCTTTCTTGTGCGAATTTCAGTGTGGGGCCGGAATACGCGTCGGTGTTTGGCGTTCGGCTCCTTACGAAAGGTTCTCAGGGCATAACTGGGTGAGGCAGTCTTGCTTTGATCCACCAGCTTCATGTTCTAAGAGAGTGGTTTCTGTGATTCGGGCATTCTCCTGCTCCAGGAGCATTTGGGCGACAAAAGAACGGATTCAACTGCGCCGACACTGGCGCGTGAACTGCCTGCGTAAGCTCGCGCGTAGGCGCCCACGTCTCGCGTGCCGCGCCAGCGGCCCGCGTAAACCGCCGCGTAAGCTCACCATGCCATCTCGCGCAAGACCCATTTCCAGTGGCCGCTCATGTCGTGGTGCAGTCAACCCGCATTGTAAGGACGATCGACTTCCCAGGGGTACCCCTGCCTCCTTGCCTCTTCGGTCATATTCGGACCATCCTCGACCACTCTCGATGGCCAGCCCCGCTCGAAGATCCTCGGCATGGGCGTCCAATGGCCCTTGGATCCTTGCCGCGCATCCTTCCTACATGGGTGGACTGTGTGCCTCTAGGAATGCTGGGGCGGCCTCCCTCTTCTCTCGGGGAAACAAGCGTAAGACTCGAGTGAGCCGGAGCTCGGGTTTGTCAGCGTGTGTCGACGAGCGCGCCCTGGATTCTGGCGGTCCAGTCTTCGTGGGATGTCTGCAGCGGGAGCTCGCGCCAAGCTTCGGATTGGGCCTCGTCTTTCTGCGGCTGGCCCCGTCGGGCCAGCCCGAGGCCCCCCGCACCCGAATCTTACGTCTCCCCCGGCATCGAGGGTGCAGGGCCCATGTCGATCCTCCTCCTCCTCCTCCTCCTCCTCCTCCTCCTCCTCTTCCTCCCCCTCCTCCTCCTCCTCCTCCTCCTCCTCCTCCTCCTCCTCCTCCCCCTCCTCCCCCCCTCGCTCCTCCTCCTCCCTCCTCCTCCTCCTCCTCCTCCTCCTCCTCCTCCTCCTCCTCCTCCTCCTCCCTCCTCCTCCTCCTCCTCCTCCCCTCCTCCTCCTTCCCCTCCTCCTCCCTCCTCCTCCTCCCCCTCCTCCTCCTCCTCCCCCTCCTCCTCCTCCCCCTCCCCCTCCTCCTCGAGTCTCACGCCCCCCCGATCCTCGCGAGGTGCAGGCCTCCCGGGAGTGCGCCTCTGCGCTCGGGCGCCGGGCCCGGCCAGTCGCGGAGCCGTGGGCCACGGGCCGGGAGTGGGTCCTCGAGGGGCGGCGGCGCCGCCGCCGCCGTGGTCGTCGCCGTCCGTCCTCTCGGCACCGCTCGGGCGTGTGCGTGTTTGCTTCTTCGCGGCGCGGGGCATCCTGGATCATCCTGCGAAGATCTAGGCCTCCTAGATGGGGTCGGAGTAGATGGGGTCGGAGAATCGCGCCGCATCGTCGATGCATCGCCGGTGCGGCTCGATGTGCAACCCGATTTGCTCCACGTCGACGTCGCCGATGCCTCGCCCACGTCGACGATGCATCGCCGGTGCATCGCTGATGCATCGCCGATACAGCGCCGATGCATCCATCGCCGATGTATCGGCGATGCGTGGCGATCCTCCGACCCCATCTACTCCGACCCCATCTAGGAGGCCTCTAGAAGAGTTCGCGGCGAGGGGCATCCTGGAGCATCCCTGCGAAGAAGAAGAAGAAGAAGAAGAAGAAGCGCACGAAGACGGCACGTGAGCGGGGACTGCGCGTCCGAGCGATGGCAAGCCTCAGGGGCAACGATGAGCGGGGGGGGGGGTAGGCATAGGGGGGGGCGCATCGACCCCCAACCGCTCATTGATCGCCGATAGGGGCCCGATCGCCCCAACCTGCCAAGGAACGTGCGGATTCATTCTCGGGTGCCTATCGCCGATCTATAATGGCGATGTGTCGCCGATTCCAGGTCGATGTTTCCCCCCCCTATGCCTATCCCCCCTCATCGGTGCCCCTCGACGTCCTCGGGGGCATCGATGACACGCTGCAGTTGGGAGCCGTCAGCGTGTCACTCCGTCGTTTCTGTCCGAATGCCTGGTGCTCCGTCGTCCGTTCATCAGTGCCCGGAGATCCGAGGCTCCGCAAGTATTGGAGCGGCCAGTTTTCCTTGGTTCGGCCTCAAGGGGCCCTCCAAAGGCCTCGGGACCTTCAAGAAGCGACTCGGGATGAAGCATTGGCCCAACAGGGAAGTGGTCCAGAACTCCGGGGGCCCACGCATCGAAAAAAGTTGGAGCGCCGGATGTCTGGGTAGCACGCCGATGGGTTGCACGTGGCAGCGGCGGGCAAATGGGGGAAGTGAGAAGGAGAAGGCCTTCTCAGAAGAGGGCGGGACTTCTCAGAAGCCCCCGCGCCTTCTGAGAGGTTTTTGTTGGAGTCGTCGGGGAATGCTTAGAAGACCTTTCACAAGGCCCGAGAAGTTGTGAGTCTTCTGAGGAGGCCCGCCCCTTCCCACTTCCCCCCTCGCTCGCCGCCGGGGAGGGGGAGGGGCCCCACGGGGCCGACTTGAGGACCGCTTGGGCCCCTCTTGAAGCGCTCCTGGGCCAGAGCTCCTCGGTCTCTCGGACCCTCTCGGAAGCGTCTGGGACCACCTCGGAGCCATCTAGAGCTTCACAGTAGAAAACGCAATATGTGTATATAAACATCTATGTATGCGCCAGCATGTGTATGCTCGCCGCTGAAATCAAATTCTGCTTTGGCTCTCCCAGGTCCAGTGCGACCCGACCTTCGTGACGCTGGACGGCGTCCCCTGCGCCGCGCTCTGGCGGCTGCCCTTCCCGGTCGGCCGCTTCCGCCTCTTCGACGCCGCCGCCAGGCAGGATGTCCGCTTCCCGATGCGGTCGGCGTCGATTCGGGCTCGGACCGTGATCAGTCAGAAGGTCGAGGTCGGTTCGGGAGTGGTACCCTCATGTTCTATTTGTGCTTGTTGGATGCTCGTGTGCATCCGTGGGGAGGGTACCCTGGGGTGCCATAGGAGTTTCAGCCGGCGGGGGGTCTCGTGCTCTTGAAAGCTGTTGTTCTATTCTTGGCCCAGCTTTGTTCCCACGATCCGATGCGGCGCGATGTTTGCATCCGGACGCTGCCGATTCGACTCCGACGCCGTGCCGGCGCGATGTTTGCATCCAGACGCTGTCGATTCGACTCCGGCGCCGTGCCGGCGCGGCCTGGTCTGGCGCACGTGCCGCGCCGATCCCCCGGACATGCGGTGTCTTCGGTGCTGCAGTGCGTCAGAAGGCGAAAACCCACCCCCACCCCCAGTCCCGACGCCCATCCCCGAGCCAGCGATTCAAGGGGCCGGGATAAGGGGTGGGGGTCGGTTTTCTTCATTCCTGGACCCCGAAAACCCACCCCCACCCCCAGTCCCGACTCCTTGAATCGCGGCTTCGGGGATGGAGTCAGGACTGGGGGTGGGGGTGGGTTTTCGCCTTCTCAGTGCGGGATCCCCGGAAGTGCCGACCCCTTCCCCCGGGGCCGAGTTTGCATCCCGAGTCTTTCTGTTGTTGCGGTCCTGGGGCCAGGCGGGGGCCCCCAGAGGCCGAACACGGCCAGAATGTTTCCCGTCGTGCTTTTACCCTCACATCCTGAGATGTGGTTATTGCTATTCTCAGCGCTTCGCGTAGCCCCACCAGCCCATCCAGAAACGATGCCCAGGCATGCAGTGGAGTAAAGGGCTGGGGAAGCCGTCATACCCCAAGACGGGGAGGACGGAGGCGGAATCGGAGGAAGAGGAGGGGGAGGGGAATGAGGGAACACGAGGAACATGCGGACGAGGAGGAGGAGGAGGAAGACGAGGAGGAGGAGGAGGAGGACGAGGAGGAGGAGGGCGAGCGAAAGGGCCAGAGGCCTCTTGGGTGCCTCTCGGAGTCTCTTCGAATGTCTCTTGAGAGTTCCTTGGGGTCCTATTGGGGCGTCTTGGGGCCTCTTGGCGGTACCAGGGGCCTCTTGAAGCATCGTGGGTGCCTCGGGTGAGCTTCTTGGGGCTTCTTGAGTCTCTCTTAGGAGCTTCTTGGGGACATCTTGCTCTTGGGGCCTTCTGGGCGCCTCTTGGGGCACTCTTTGAGCCCCCCTCGGGGGCCACCGTGGGGCCACCTTGGAGAAGTCGATCAAAGGAGGGGGGGTACTTGTTTAGGGCCTCCACCCCAGGATGCCCAAATGGACCCCAAACTTGAATAATATCATTGATGTTGGCCTTCTCGCCGAGGCCGCCTCGGACGCTCCAACGCTTGAGGGGGTAAAAGGAGGGGTAAACCCTCACCGAAGTAGAAGAAGAGGGTTGGAAGAGGCAACGCTTTGAACCACTCGCGCCCAACAGGCTGGTGGGATTACTTGGACGCTTCCGACTCCTCAGGAAGGAATAAGGAACCCTCCTTCCTCCTCCTCCTCCTCCTCCTTCGCCACCTCCGTCTCCCCACTCGTACTCACTCATATTCAACTCCACTCACACTCAGACTCACTCACATTCAGAGTCACTCGCAATCAGAGTCACTCACACTCAGACTCACTCATACCCGACTCATTTATATTCAGACTCACTCACACTCAGACTCAATCACATTCTGACTCATTCAAACTCAGACCCACTCGTACTCTGACCTAACCATACCCAGATTCACTCGCACTCAGACTCACCCACACCCAGACACTCCTATTCAGAATCACTCATATTGAGACTCGCTTGTCCTCAGTCAGTCTCAGTAGCACCGCTTCCTCACTCTGAACCACTTATGCTCCGAATCATCCGCGCACACCGACTGTGAGGATGTCGCGAACGAGGCGCTGGTTTCAGCACCCCGAGGCGGAGCCGCCAGGGGGTACGACACTCGCCCGTTCACGCTCAGGCTGCGGGGATGTCTCAGGCGGTTCCCTTCTTGGGTGCCCAACACGTCCTGCTCTCAGAGCCGATGTGAGGGTGTCGCAAGCGAGACGCTGGTTTCAGCTCTCCGGGGGGGGGGGGGGCGACAGGGTGTATGACACACGCCCGTTCGCGTTCAGATTGTGGAGATGTCTCAGGTGGTTCGCTTGTTTGGGTGCCCATCATAGTCTGCTGCCCGAGCAGCTTGCGCGGGTGCCTTCAGCGACACGCCGGCTTCGGCACCCCAACGGGGAGCCGCCATGAGGGTATGACCTCGCCCGTTCGCGACCAGATTGGGGGGATGTCTCAGGCGGTGTGCTCGTTTGGGTGCCCGGCGCCCTTTGGTGGGCTCGTCTTCCACCACCGCCACCACCATAAGTTGGAGAGGGGAAGGAGGAGGAAGAGGAGGAGGAGGACGAGGAGGAAGAGGAGGAGGAGGAGAAGGAGGAGGAGGAGGAGGAGGAGGACGAGGAGGAGGAGGAGGAGGGGGAGGAATATCAGGAAGAGGAGGAGTATCAGGAGGAGGAGGAGGAGGAGGAGGAGGAGGAGGAGGAGGAGGAGGACCCCCTCCCCCTCCAACTCATGGTGGTAGTGGTCGAAAACAGGCCTATCATCCTTGCTGTCAGAGCAGCTTCCGAGGATGCTCCAGGCGAGGCGCTGGTTTCAGCACCCCCAAGGCACCCCAAGGGGGAGCCGCCAGGGGGGCGCGACCCTCGCCCGCTCGCGCCCAGGCTGTGGTGCTGTCGCAGGCGGTGTGCCTGCCTTGGGTGTCCAACGCGTTCTGTGTTTAGATCAGCCTGTGGGCATGTCTCAGGCGAGGCGCTGGCTTCGGCACCCCAAGGGTTATGTCGGGCGTGTCCCCCTACAGGGGGATCTTCGTCGAAAAATAAAGAATACCCCCAACATGCCCCCCAAAGGCAAGAACATATTCAAAGTATAGTCCCCAGACTATTTTTGGATCATTTTTTGATTATGTTGGGGGTATGTTTTATCTTTCGTCGGAAATCACCCTGTATGGGGACAGGCCCGACTTAGCCCAAGGGGGAGCCGACAGGAGGCGTTGCACGGGCTCGTTCGCGCCCAGGTGGTTGGGACGCCTCGTGCGGTGTGATTGCTCTTGCCCCCCCAGACTTGTCCGAGCAGCCCTCCTGCGTTGGGTTCTCGTCTTGGCTAGAGCACTGCGGTCGCGACCTCGTTCTTCTCCTCCCGCCTCCCTCCTCCTCCTCCTCCTCCTCCTCCTGCTCCTCCTCCTTCTCCTCCTCCTCCTCTTCCTCCTCCTCCTCTCTCACCTCCTCTCCTCTCCTGTCTTGCCTGCCAGTCTGCCTTTTTTCCTCCGCCTTCGCCGTATTACGTCACTTCGACATCCCTGGGGTCCGCGAGCTGCAACGTCGTCGTAACGTTCGAAGGCTGCTGGGGGGGGGAGGGGGCAGCGGGGCCGTCACACGTAGACTCGGATTGCCATCGCTGGGGGGCTGCGAGCCGCGAAATGGTCGTCACGTTGGAAGGCTGCTTGGGGTACAGTGGGGTGACGTCATACGCAGGCTTATATGAGACCTCGCCATTCTTGGGGGGGAACTGCGAACTGCGAAACTGTGGTCGCGTTCGAGGCCTGCTGGGGGGTGCAGCGGGGTGACGTTCTACGCGGACTCAGATGAGACATCATCATTGCGAATGTGTTGCCTTTTTCGAGGGTTGCGGGGGGGGGGGGCAACGGAGTGACGTGATACGCTGATTCAGAATAGACCCCGCTATCCTTGGGGGGCTGCGAACTACCAACGTGTCTTCACGTCCTGGGCCTGCTGGATGCTCCAGCGGAGTGATGCCATACGCGGGTTCAGATGGGACCTCCCCATGCGCTGGGCGTTGCGAACTGCGACGTTGTAGCCACGTTCGGGTGTTGCTGGGGGGTGCAGCGGAGTGGCGTCACACGCAGACTCAAATGAGACCTCGCAATGCCTGGAGGGCTGCGAGCTGCGAATGTGTCGCCACGTTCGTGGGTTGCTGGGGGTCCAGCGGAGTCATCGTCTTAAGCAGACTCAGATTTAACCTCGGCGCCCCTATGGGCTGCGAGCTGCGAACCTGTCGCTACTTTCTTGGGTGGTGGGGGGTGAAGCGGAGTGACGTCGTACGCAGACCCAGATTGCTTTACCACCCCTGAGGGGTTGCGAACTACCTAATTGTTGCCACGGCCGAGAGCTGCTGGGGGTCCCGCGGGGTGCCGCCATACGTGGGTTCAGATCAGACCTCGCCATCCCTGGGGTGTGGCGGACTGCCAGTCCTTCGCCACGTTCAAGGGGTTCTGGGGGGGGGGGGGGCAGCGGAGTGACGACATACGCGGGTTCAGATTCAACTTCACCGTCGCTGGGGGGCTGCGAACCACGAAACGGTCGAGGGCTGTGGGGGGTGGGGGGCAACACAGTGGCGGCAGACTTACGCAGGCTGGAAGATTTCACCCTTGAGCCCCACGTGTCGGAAGCGACGTGCCGTTCAGGTGAGCGGATATATGTACCCCCCCATTCATCGTGCTTCCTCCCTCCTCCTTCCCCTCTCCGTCCTTGGAAGACCCCCCCTCCCTCGTACACCCATGGCGTTGGTCAGCGGGTCCACAGTTCCGTGGGTAGCATGATGCTTCACGTGCGGTGCCTCGCGGAGCCCATTTCCCCTTGGTCCGGGATACGAATGATTTGTATGCTTATTATCGATATGGCTGATATTCTTATTCGTATTATTATTCGTATCATTATTATGTTTAAGATTATTATCTCTGTTTACGGCCATTCTAGAGTTACCCCGGGAGGCAATGGATCCAATGTATTCTCACACGGGAAATTTGACCCGCGCAAGGCAGCAATCGGATCCACGACGCTGTCGCACACCCGAAGAATGGATCCAATTGGATCCATCGGCGCTCTCAAAAAATATGTTTGGGGATGTCGTGACGTCCTACGATGTTCCATGTGAGACCTCACCATCTCTGGGGGGCTGCGAATTGCGAGGCTGTCGCCACTTTCGAAGGCTACTGGGGTGTCCAGC